ATCGGCTTTTTCTTTGTCGGTTTTTTGCGGATTTTCAGCGACACAAACAATCCCACCCTCACTTTACAGAAGTTGAAACTAGTTATTTCAGTTCGAAATTGAAAAAAAAAAACCTCTTTGGGACTTCGATCGCTCGGATCCAACTATTAAAATTATATCCTGATCTAAATTTCCCGAAGCAAATAATACCAGCGACCGTTTCTGTAAAATGCTTAGCAGTAGTTGAGTAAAGAAACGATGTGAGCAAACATTTTCCTGCATGATTTCGCGTCACGATGACCACTAGGCTGACCACTAGGCGATGTAGCATTGGACAAGACACTTGGAAACGCCTTCAGCTAGGTAGTAGTTGGAGAACCGGACTATGAATTAACAGATTTTTCGCAGTCAAAAAAATAGCTATTGCGTATTTCGTTAAAATCGGGTATATTGTTAAAAGGAACCGTGATTTTAAAATCCTTAGAAGCATAATTCCGATACATGAGCAGAGAGTGAAAAGGCAAGTTGTGTACTTTGATTTCCCGCACAGTTGAGGAAATGGGACAGATTTTTTTTTTTTCAAAAAAACCAGAGCTGTTACCTGATCTTTCCCCCAGCAGAGCGAACACTCCAAGCACAAAAACTATGACTATAGCAAGTACCCAGAAAATGATTACAAACAGGTACAGATCCAACGACATCTCAAAAAAACTGAAAACACATTTCGCATTTACACTGAAAACGCTCAGATAAGTGAACTTGAAAACCAAGAAAATTAGAAAATCCTATATTTCGAGAATGTTAATAGCACACAGAGAAGGCTGCTCATGCGATAGAAGGATCTACTTGGAGTTGGCTATATGGAATTATGTGGATGAGAGGTCAAAATAAAAAATAGTGAAGTGTCAACTGCACCAATGGCGGGATGGAATGCGATGAAGAGCAGTTGCTTGACGTACCAAAATATAGCCCTGACCAGATAATGTGGGTTGTAGAACTGGAATTAACCTGTATCCCCGTATTTTGTGGAATTACCCTGTAGGTACTTCCGTGTCCTAAGTCTTTTTGACTATTTTTTTGGAAATTCAGGATCGCAGCATAAACCCATAGGATTTCTCTCTGTTTAAAAGGCTCGCATTCGCCCCCGACTCAGGCCCAAAATTCAGCTAGCTTTATTATTTAAACGCGAATGGAGCTATGAAGTATTTTGGAAATTTTTAAGATGCAAACTATGAAAGTTTGTTTGGCACTATAGCCCCGCAGATGAGAGAGACAGTTGGATAATGACAGTTTTGGGAGAGCAGGAAGTCGCAATTTAGACAACCAGATAAGCAAGCCTATATGTGCATTAGTTGTTGTCCTGTCTGTGTTTTATCCCTGAACTATAAACCCGAAATCTGACAAGTACACTTATGAGATGAACAAACATCGCCAGACCTGGATTTTTAGATCACGCCTAAATTCGAGATAATACTGCTACATCTGAATTTCGCAGTTTTCCTGCTCCAATCAATTTGTGATTGAAAAATTTTGAGAAATTTTATTTTCAGTTTTATCGTAAATTATCTTGGACTTATCTCAAAATTTTACCCAATACTTGAATTCCAGATAAAAATTGTGCCTTATTGCAACTAGATGGATGGACGAGCACGCTCCCATGAATAGATTTACCTAAAAATCTACGTAATTTACTATCTCTATCAATCCAACAAGTCGTAAAAACGCGTAATCTTAGCGAACTCATGATATGAATTGCTGTAAAATCAATTCTGCTAAAAGCCATTTAAGAGAAAATTACCAATATTTATTGACAACATTTGCAAGAACAACAAGGCATTTCTAGCCTTTTAACTGCAACATCAAGAACAAAACAAGAATCACGGGATAAGTAATATGACTCGAAAGCTTCCAGAATATACACAAAATAAACATTTATACAACGAAAGAATAAATGTCAAAAAAATGAGATTTCCTCCGTGTTTGCTTTGCCGGTACATACCAAAAATTTAGCCCGACTGGTAGCACATGTCATAAAAAACTAACTACTGGCAAGGCTATCGATAAAAGCGTTTCCAAAAAAAAAAACCTGCACAGACTACTCAGTTCAAATAGGTAGAAAATATAAAATTTAAAAAGTATGTTACTTCTGGTACCGCGTATGAGAGTGTTGATGGATCGAAGAAACCGATCAGGATGCTAGACTGTAACAAGGACAAAAGACAACTTATTGTACGAGACACTGACACTGAACAGAATGGGTAATTGACGAATCACCAGTATTAATTTGAACAGATCGGTTGACGAAAGGCACTCAAACGGTGAACGTGAACAAATGATACGTGCCGACCACGAATCATCGGATCGCCCGCCTTATATATACTGATGTTTCTAATAGATATCGCACACTACAGTCTCAGAAAGGATCTCCTTCTAGGATTTCAGAATGGGTGACATGCGAAACAGGGATAGATTTTACCGTCGTAGATTCAATCCACGATGAGAAAGTTGGCGGGGAAATATTGGCTTGGGAACGGAGAGTCGGATTCTTGTCGGAGATTCGATTTCCCTTGAGAGCATCGCTTTCCGACGTTCAGCTGGAATGTCCTCGAAAGATGGCTCAGCTTTTTATTTTTTTGTTTTATAATTCCGATTGCTGGGTGTGGAGGGAAAGGCTTCGCCTTCACATAAACAAGAACATGCAAAACTACTCGAATGGGCTTGTAAGTAAGTTTACATTTTCGAAAAGGTAAAGGGAGAGCAATGAAAACTATTTCGGATGTGAATGCGTTTTCCTAGCATTCAATTCTCTAGAACAATTTTGAGGTAAAATTCACTTTTATTCGAAGAGGTAGTGTTTTCGAAGAACTCAATCTTCCACATTTCCATAATCGATGCCCTTTTTTCTCAAGAATTCCGTATATTTTTCACGAATCAATTTGAATGCTCCAGGTGTTGCATACGGTAAATCGGTCAGCGGATCCTTGTATTTTGCAGGGCGCGAAGTTACGGAGCACAGAAGCTTTATCTGTAAAAAAAAAAAACAAAATTAAATATTTAGCCTAACAATCGATAAGGTACTTCAACATGGATTAGGATACAGCAAATAGGATAAGATGATATTGCTCAACTGAAAACAAGGACGCTCCCAACCGGATAAAGCTTTGCCAAGAGATTTTTTCGAAAAAAAAAACGCTGAGCTGGTAATTCTTTCAGGAAAAGAAGCGGACGTCAGGATTTTTGCTGCTTTATCCAATTTTACATCGTCTGGTGGTCAGCCCGCAGAACACCT